TGGAGAAATGACCAAATATGTTCTTGTAGTTGGAGCCCCAAATGGCACAGTGGGTTAAACTGCTGAACTGCTGAAATTGCTGACCGAAAGGTTGGTGGTTCGAATCTGAGGACCAGGGTGAGCTCTCACTGTTAGCCCCAACTTCTGCCAACCTAGCAGTGGGAAGGTAATGGCACACCATGTAGTCATGCCAGCCACATAATGCCGGCCCTTTCAGCTTAGAAAGGGAGATAAGTACCACCCCCCAGAGTCGCGCACGACTAGATTTAATATCAAGGGGAAACCTTTACCTTTGTCTTAGTTGAGACCCTCAATAATGTCATCCATCGGGATCTCCAAAGGACCCTCTCCCAAGAATTCCATACGTCTGTGCCTCCATAATATGTGTGTACATAAAGTTGACATGTATGTGTGTCTTCATGTCACCTCTCAACTTCAGGTACCACGTGAATTTTGTAGTGTTTTCTGGTATTTGTTGGCTGTCTCCCATGCAAGTACTAACTAGAGCCAACCCTACCTAGATTCTAAGATCAGACAGGATCTGGTGTCTTCAGTGTATGCTTATCTGGCCATGTTTGGGGGAGAAGCAGCACTCGTAAAAGGTGTTTTTAGAGTGGATGGGATAAGAAAGGAGGTGTAATATAGTTCCTCCTGATGGAATTTTCCCCCCTCCGTTTCCTGATATCTGCTGGATTTGACAAAGAACTTTAAGAAGCTACCATTTTTGATCACAGTTTCCAGTAGCCTTGGGGAATATGGAAATTGTCATCCAAAATTGCCTAAGTTCTGATTTAGAAACATGGATCTGTCGCTATTGCATTTAAGTTTGTGTCTTGTTGGTGCATTTCCTTTTCTTTCAATTCTGTTTCTAGCCTTCTATTTATTTATTTATTTATTTCATTTACTTATACCCCGCCCTTCTCACCCCGGGGGGGACTCAGGGCGGCTTACAGTGGGGGCACAATTAGATGCCCAAAACAATTCACAAGCAATACAAATACAAACAATTCAACAATTAATTAAAAACATCAGTACATAATAAAATAATAAAAACAGTCTCATGCTCAGGGTTCAGAGTCCATATATCCATTCCATTCCATTTGTCCTTGTCTATCATCAGATCCTTCAGTTAGCTGTCAGAATGACCAAAGGCTTGATCTCAGATCCAGGTCTTCAGTTTTTTCCTAAATGCCAAAAGGGAAGATGATGATCTAATCTCCCCGGGGAGTGAGTTCCACAGGTGGGGGGCCACCACTGAGAAGGCCCTGCTCCTCGTCCCCGCCAACCTCACTTGTGACAGTGGCGGGGTCGAGAGCAGGGCCTCCCCAGAAGATCTTAAACTTCGAGGTGGGATGTAGAGGGAGATCCGTTCGGACAAATACACTGGGTCGGAACCGTATAGGGTTTTGTAGGTCAAAACCAGCACTTTGAATTGTGCTCGGAATTGGATCGGCAGCCAGTGGAGCTGACGCAACAGGGGGGTTGTATGCTCCCTGTACGTCGCTCCGGTGAGCAATCTGGCTGCTTCTCGCTGGACTAGTTGTAGTTTCCGAGCAGTCTTCAAAGGCAACCCCACGTAGAGTGCGTTGCAGTAATCCAGCCGGGATGTGACAAGAGCGTGGACCACCGTGGCCAGATCTGGCTTCTCAAGGTACGGGCGCAGCTGGCGCACAAGTTTTAATTGTGCGAAAGCTCTCCCGGCCACCGCTGAGACCTGGGGTTCCAGGCTCAGCGATGAGTCCAGGATCACTCCCAAGCTGCGAACCTGTGTCTTCAGGGGGAGTGTAACCCCGTCTAACACAGGCTGTAACCCTATACCCTGTTCGGCCTTACGACTGACCAGTAGGACCTCTGTCTTGTCTGGATTCAATTTCAATTTGTTAGCTCTCATCCAGTCCGATACAGCAGCTAAACACCGGTTCAAGGTCTGGACAGCCTCCTTGGTGACAGGTGGGTAGGAGTGACAGATTTGGACGTCATCTGCATAGAGATAGCATCTTAGTCCGAAACTCCGAATGATCTCTCCCAGCGGCTTCATGTAGATGTTAAATAACATCGGGGACAAGATTGAACCCTGTGGGACTCCACACAACAACGGTTGTGGGGCCGAACAGGTGTCACCCAATAACACCTTCTGGGTCCGTCCCTCAAGGAAGGATCGAAGCCACCGCAAAGCAGTGCCTCCGAGCCCCATATCCATGAGGCGGCCCAGAAGGATACCGTGATCGACGGTATCGAAGGCCGCTGAGAGGTCCAGCAGAACTAACAGGGACACACTCCCCCTGTCCAGTTCCCTGCGGAGATCATCTACCAAGGCGACCAAGGCTGTCTCAGTTCCATGTCCCGGTCTGAAGCCAGACTGTGCCGGATCCAGATAATCAGTGTCTACCAGAAACCCCTGGAGTTGTGTTGCCACCACACGTTCCATGACTTTGCCCAAATAGGGGAGATTGGAAACTGGCCGATAGTTGTCGAATTGAGTGGGATCCAGTGATGGTTTCTTCAACAGCGGTTTTATAATAGCTTGTTTTAAGCTCGCTGAAAATTTTCCTTCCTGTAAGGAGGCATTAACCATCACCTTCACCCACTCTGCCAAACCCCCTCTGGCTTCCTTGATCAGCCAGGAAGGGCAGGGGTCTAGGATGCATGTGGTGGGTCGCACCTCTCCAAGGATCCTGTCCACATCCTCAAGCTGAACCAATTGAAACGAATCCAACAAAACTGGACAAGCAGATGCTCTCGTTACATCCCCAGAGACTGCCGTTAACATGACGTCAAAACCCGACCGAATCCGCTCAATTTTATCCGCGAAGGATCGAGCAAATGCTTCACAGCGAGCCACCGAGTTGTCCGAGGCCTCGCTTTTTGGCGGATTTAACAGGCCCCTGACAACTCGGAAAAGCTCCGCCGGACGATTCTTCGCTGATGCAATATTGGCTGTGATGAATATTTTCTGAGCTGCCATTATTGCCACACCGTAGGACCTTAGAAAGGCATTCAGGTGTGTTTGGGCTGGATTGGTGGGGTTCTGGCGCCACACGCACTCTAACCTTCTACTGGTAAAGATCTGGAAATTATACCAAGATAGTAAGAACCCCCTGTCTGAATCACACACACTAAATTGTGAGCACTTCTGGATGGGAACTGAAAGACATGCAGTCAGGAGCAAAATAGGGAAGCCCATAAGCCCCTTCTTCTGTAGATTAATAGATGTCCATCTGGCATCTATTCTCTATCCATCTGGTCCTTGTTTGGAGTGGAAAAACATTACCGAAATGAAATAAGAATGCCAGCCTATAGAATATAGTTGTAAAAAAATTGTCCTGCTTGGAAGTTTTAGGTAGATCTAGTGGTGATTTTTGCATTTTACATGAAAGAACAATAATAACAATTACAACATCTTGATTCTAGCATTACATGGCTGTTTCAGTTATCTTTCTAAACCAGCCTGATTCCTCTGTTTAAGAAGGGGCTTATGGGCTTCCCCGTTTTGCTCCTGACTGTACGTCTTTCAGTTCCCAACCTTTGGTCCTCTGGGTGTTTTGGACTTCAGCTCCCAGATATCTAAGCCAGCCTTCCAGTTGGCTTAGATTGTGGTAATTGAAGTCCAAAACAACTGGAGAGGACTACAGTTTGAGAACCACTGGTTTAGATATTGTCTAGAAGGGTAGTTTGGGGCAAAATTTCTTGTAGAAAACCAGGGAGAGGGAACCTTTAGCTAGTGAAATTACCACTGCAGTCATAAGCGCAAACAATCTTAATTGGGTGCTGAGCATCTAGCTTTTATGCTTGTAATAAAATTTGGACTTTTGAGAGGATATATTTAATAATATTTTGTCTGTATGTGTATGTGTAGCAGCTGATGGTGGTTTCCATGTCATTAGGGCAGTGAATCCAGTCCATCTCCATGAAAGTTTGGTCAAAAACTTGGAGTGAATTCATCAGCCTGCATACATGGAAGGGACTTACTATCCTTGTCTTTGTGTTCCCAAATCAAGGGAACTTGAGTTGGGTCAGTTAAAATTTCTTTTCTGACTCCCTATCCCATCCCAATCAAACACATGGGATCTCATTCCACACAGTCTGGGCTCTGTTTCCATACTCTTAAGAAATGAACTCCCATGGAGGCCATCACATGACGTAAGGGCACTTCTAACGGTACTCCATGCAACTCAATTTCCACTATGCATGGAAACAAAGCCCAGAATGGGTTTTTAGGAGTTGAGTGCTACCCAACTCCAAATGGCAAAAGACGGGGAAAGGATGTAGAATGGCTGGCCATCCTAGAAGACAGACTTCTCCGCTTTCGCCCCACTCATGGGATGAGATACTTGTTGATATTATGTGTCTCTGCTCCTGACATATGACAACCCTATCACAGAGTTTTCTTGGAAAGATTTGTTCAGAGGGGAATTTGCCTTTGGCCCAAGAGAGCATGACTTGTCTAAGGTGGGCTTCCATAGCAGAGTGGGGATTCAAACCTGTTCTCCAGAGGCCTAGTCCACATGTTAATCACTGCACCATGCTGACCCTCCCAAAACTACAACTTTTATAAATGAAATCCGTCCCCTTTTCATGCTTTATACTTCATAAGCTACAAGTTGAAACCCATCACCTTCTCCTTGTTGGCAGACTGCAAATCAGCCAATTAGCCAAAGCATGTAAGCCTAATTTGTCAGTTTTCATGTCAAGTTTGTACATCTGTTTAACTAATCCTTAGAGAACTCCTGGAGACAAAAATTAAATGTTCTTTGCAGAAAACAGCTTAGAATAGGTTCGTGCCAGCTTCCCAGTGAAGTTGGCATGGCTATTTATTCTATTATTCTATTCTTTATAATTAATCCATAAAGCTGTCAGAAGAGAAAGTGTCATATGAATGGTTTTTTGCCAGAAAAAGAAATATTAATATATCACTTCCAACTTTCTCTCTACCCTGACCTTGAAATTGAAAGGGAATTTATTTGTTTTCCTTCTCTTCTCTGCATCTCTTTTAATTTTAGGAACAAGTTCCAGTTCCAGTTTACCACCCGACTCCCAGCCAGACCCGTCTAGCAACCCAGCTCACGGAAGAGGAACAAATTAGGATAGCCCAACGGATAGGTCTTATACAGCATTTGCCGAAAGGAGTCTACGATCCAGGAAGAGATGGCTCTGAGAAAAAAATTAGAGAGTAAGTCCCATAAACACCACTTTTTATGAAAACGTTGTCCAGTGGCATCTGGAGCACATTGAACTGATGGGAATGAAGGCAGGAAAGATAACTGACAGCACTACTAGGATAATAGGCAGAGGCTGTGGTAGCCAGGAAAAGATTGCAGCGGGAGAAAGAGAAGGAGAGATCTCCCACTGCACCAAAATAACAAATTGTGACAAGATTTTCCTTTTACTAGCAGGCAAACACATTTCTGTTCAATCAGGCTTTTAATATGTAATTACTCTCAGGGAGGAAATGGGGTGCATGCTCGTTTCTAACCTTTGTAGCTTTTAAAAATAATTTTATACTGTTTTAAAAATTATTTTAACTTATTTTATCTGTGAACTGCCTTGGGACCCCTTTGAGTCTCCTTAGGGAGAGATAAAGCTGGGTGTTTTATATATATATTCATATCAGAAGCGACTTGAGAAACTGCAAGTCGCTTCTGGTGTGAGAGAATTGGCCATCAGCAAGGACGTTGCCCAGGGGACGTCTTGATGTTTGATGTTTTACCATTCTTGTGAGAAGCTTCTCACTTGTCCCCACATGGGGAGCTGGAGCTGATAGAGGGAGCTCAGCCCACTTTCTCCAAATTCTAACCACTGAATGATTTGAATCCAGGTACTGCCACTAGTAAGGTAATGCTCAAGATCCTGCAAGGAAAACTCCAGCAATACATGGAGCGAGAGTTGCCAGATGTTCAAGCTGGGTTTAGAAAAGGCAGAGGATCATAGAATCATAGAATCATAGAATCAAAGAGTTGGAAGAGACCTCATGGGCCATCCAGTCCAACCCCCTGCCAAGAAGCAGGAATATTGCATTCAAATCACCCCTGACAGATGGCCATCCAGCCTCTGCTTAAAAGCTTCCAAAGAAGGAGCCTCCACCACACTCCGGGGCAGAGAGTTCCACTGCTGAACGGCTCTCACAGTCAGGAAGTTCTTCCTAATGTTCAGATGGAATCTCCTCTCTTGTAGTTTGAAGCCATTGTTCCGCGTCCTAGTCTCCAAGGAAGCAGAAAGCAAGCTTGCTCCCTCCTCCCTGTGGCTTCCTCTCACATATTTATACATGGCTATCATATCTCCTCTCAGCCTTCTCTTCTTCAGGCTAAACATGCCCAGTTCCCTAAGCCGATCCTCATAGGGCTTGTTCTCCAGACCCTTGATCAT